TCCATGAGATCCGACAGGCATAGGAGCAGCGGGAGCAGCGGAGCAGTGTCAGGATGGCTCGGCTCTTCATGTTTACAGAGCTATTATATGAAAAATGACCAACGAACCGCTCTGGGTTTCCGAGAAGAACGTGTTGTACGATGCATCCTCGACACCGACTGTCTTATCGGCAGGCATGATTCCATCAGGCTGAAAGTACAACTAAACGCTACCAAATACACAACGGCTAAGTCACCTCAACTGTTTCAACCGACGACATCAAACCATCCGGCTGAAAAGAAAAAATAAGAGGCAAATGTGATTCGTTTCAACCAATTCATTTTCACAACTGTAAACGTATAATGAAAGATAGCGCAGGGAAGGTATTCTTTCTTCCTCTTCTTCTTTTTTGCACTGGCGCTCTTCCCTTGCCTTAGGCTGAACTGGAGCTGTCCACTTATCCGTCCTGAATTATTCTCTTCTAACCCGGTTCAGTCGCCTCCATCCCGAGGCCCATTTCAATATACTCATTTTAGCCGTGATGAAATGCCTCATATGATTCTTGCCTACTGACCAGTATCCGTTGATATTGAGCATCGTTGATCTCACCACTGCTTTGTGAGGCATTCCACTAGACTTCTCTGAGCACGGTTGGATCACGAAGGACACCAGTGCACCGCGGCCGGCTCATTCCCCCCCCCCCTCCTCTCACGCCTCCATTTAGTCCGCGTTGCATTTATTAGGGCCTTCGCAAGTGCTCCATTCTACACACCAAGTATCAGAACTCTTTTACTCTTATGTTTTGTGTTGTTCTTACTCTGTTGTTTGTTGTATGTCTTTTTTCAGCGTAGTCTGCACGAACTTTGCAATTCGCTAAGACGTCCTGAAGTTCTTTCATATCCTCTGCTAACGGAGCGATGTTATTATCATAGAGGTTGCTCTTCAGTGGTCCATTTGAGAGCCCTCTCGTGATGACATCCATTGTAAAAAAAAAGAACGATAAGGCTCAGAGCTGATTTCTGGGGTACCCATTCAGCTACTGCTTTTATTGAGCCGTAAGGTGTGCGTATAGCTCCCTTATTGAAAGATCAAATGCACATATCAAGACGATGGATATAAGTGTTCTGGAACATTCTGTTTCGGATCCCTCTTCAGAGGACTGGACGCAGTGGGCTGTCGAATGTTCTCTCCAGATTGAAGAAGGCAGGGTAGCAAGGTTTCGATTTTTTCGAGGCTTCTCCATTGCCTGCTTAGATGTGGAAATGGTAACCTCTGCAGACATTTAGATATGATTTGGAACCGTTGTTGAGAAATCACGACAAGCTCCAAAAATTTGGTTCTCGCAATAGTTGGAATAACCACCGGGTCCTCCTTTTGCCTGGAGTGAGCCACTCAATCCAGTGTTCTCCAACGGGTCCCCAAGCCTCGATTTGTACACTATCTAGACCATTGGCCCTCCCAGTGTTCATCTTCCGTTCTACTCAAGTGGCCTCATCTTCGATCCAATACGCGATGGGAGAGCCGTCGGTGCCGTACGGGAGCCGTAATCACAAGAACTCTTAGTCTGAGGGCGCGTCTCGATATTCTTATCTGATGCCTGATTTTGATCGACAGGAAGGCGTACTTCTCCCCTTCTCAACACTCGAACGTGCTGCCGTGCTCTCCTGCTTTGCTACTAAGCCTTGACAAGGCTTTTGCAACTTTCAGCCAGGTCTTCTAGAGCTCAAGTTATTTTCCAGAGTCTGAAAGCATATTCCTTCTGCTTTATTACTCGTCCTCGTCGTTAACTACATTTTTCTTAATTCACTTCGAGTCTGTTCTCGGAGTTTCTCTTGTACGTGCAGTTTGACCTTCACAGTATTCTACCGTGTGCGCTGGATCGATCTTTGAAGGTTTGTAAAACTAGCTTCCTGTATACCTCTTTTGTGATCTTCTCAGCTTTTCGTAGTCTCTAATAGCGCTCATCTTTGCTTTTTAGGAGCACCCATGGCCATACTCGCCAGAAGAGGCCTCTGCTATGCTGCCAGACTTTCGTCAAGTACAGTTTCAAGGGACGACTTGTTACATGTACATGGTCGATTTCCTTTGTCTCCTCCGTGGCCGTCACCTACCTTCTGAGTCTGCTGGTAGCGTGAATTGCGTACACGAATAGTTTTGTGCAGTAACCCTCTTTCGGTCTACCTTTTCGCAGGATTGAGCGTCTATGTTACAACTTGGTATCACGATATAGTAAAGGAAGAGTAGGGTTGAGCGGAGGTGGTGTAGTGGCGATTGGCATACTATCACATACGTATGCCCAGGGATCGAATCCCGGAACGTGTTCACTTTATCAAACTAGGCCACGCAGTGATAGCAGGATCACATATATAGGAGACGCTTACAAGTAACAAGTCAGACGAAGTCTCAGCAAACCACGGGATTCTTTGTTAATTCCATCGCTATCTTCCCAGACTTACATGAACGAAATATTTTCTCAAATTCGAGAGTGTATGTATCATAAAATCAAGCTCCGAAAAAAAGAAATCATTGCAGAATTTCTTTCAAACCATGTAGGAATGACCTTTCAAGTCCAGTGGTTTATGTACATTCAGAAAAACTTGCCTCTCAATTGTCTTAGAACAAAAAAAGTTCGAACTTCTATCGCGCAGTTTTGACGATTCCTTCTGGGGTTACTGTAGCTGCCGTAAAAAGTGTTGCGAATTCGCAAGGTATGCTCTTCTAGTGATATGCAAAGCGAAACACCGAGCCCACAGCGTTGGAAGTCAGCAGAACAACCTTCAAGTGAGAGCAGCTTCAAAACTGGTTACGAAAAGAGCGAACACATAGTTTGCAATTCATCAAAAAACGACACACTACTTAAAACCCTTCCCGCCAACTACATGAATTCGACGTTCCCATCTGAAGCTGCACTCTCTTATAGCTGTCTGTCATCCCTGAAGCAGACTGGACTGTTTCTCTGCTCTGCTGATTACTACACACAAAGGTCCTCAACAATCCCAAATACAGCTTCGTGTCGACTACCCTGGGGCGAACCATTAGAGCAGAATTACGTCTTTTTGAAGCAAACGACTTGAAGGGAGAACCTTTATGGGCAGCACACACGCTGGGTTCTATTTTCAAATGCAATCCATCCAGACCAAGTTGATTTTAAGCGTTTTGTGTGTAAATAGGACACATTTTTGAGAAACCTGCCAAATGTTCCACTGCCGACCACACTCACTATTTCCGGGTGTAAACCGCCGAACAAACTGAGTCATCAGCTTTCAATGTCGTGGTGATACCTTTATAGATGTGAGTTCTCAGCATCTACTCTCGAGAAACCACAACATCATTCCGTCTTTCTGAGCAATATCTTGTCTTACCTGTATTCCGTGCTCTAAGCAATATAATTCCCAGCAAGCATTCCCGATTTGGACACCGGCCTGTCCAACGTGGAGCGAGACGATCTCGCGCTGAAATTGAAAGAGCTATAAATCGAATATCGAGCCTGCTTAATCAGCAGTCGAATTTTCATTACAACAAAAACTGAAAAGCATGATCAGCAAAAAAANAAAAAAATGAATGGACCCAAACATCCCTTATTTTCATCCCTTTCGCAGAGAAATCAAGCAGATGTCGTGGTTTTCAAAAAAATGTAAGAGCCCACACAGGTCACGGAAATCGCACTTCCCATAGAAAGGTCGGTTTCACTGAAGCTGTATTTTGCGGTATAGTTTGAATGATATCGAGTTTTTGAAAGCTAATTGCCAAATTTCGCTTGAAAAGTTTTCACTCGAAGACACAGTTCACAAAAAATGTTACTAAGTGGTCACTTCGCCCCTAAGGTAAACCCTCTTTAAATACTCCTTGAATAGTCTAGAGATATTATCGATCGGAAAAAGGACCGAAACGGGCTTGGTTAAGGCTCAAAAGCCGGTTTAGCCGACTCACACCCAAAAGTGGCTGAGTTATGACGGCCTTCTGAAGGCTGCACCGCACACATTGTGCCGACGCGACCCATTCATGCGGAACCTGCGATCATATGTCTCCTCCTTCTATTGGTGAAAACAGTGCTCCCACAGTGATCTACGCCATCAGCACTGTGAATGCGCCCAAGGGAAGTCAATTTCTGCCATTTTTGAACTCTGTAGTCAGCTCTTTACTCTACTGCGCTGAGTGACACCTCGTCCAAATGTCTGCCTTGCCGCTTCTATTATCTCCTACAACTCCACCCCCATTTTTTTACTAGTTCTTGGAAGAATTACACTTTTCGAAAATCGCTATTTTTGCTCTTCCTCTCGCCACCTTTGCCCTATTCTGCACCATAACTCCATCATTTCGCCAAAATCAGGTACCTCAGTATCGTGAACCGTGTATGGAATGGAATGAACTAGCCATGAACCGACCTTAATTGCAATTATTAATAGGGATCATAGTAAAGAGGCATAATCCGAAGACGCGAAATTTGAGAGGGAAAAATTTCAATGAAAAATGTCGTATGCCTAATGCCCTTTCTTTTTTTCTTACAAACAGACATTCATCGGTTGTGCTCATCTTCGTTAGCAGTTGGATGTTTGATGTAACTCTATTGAATGGCATCGATCAAGTGATAATCCCGAGGCAGCGGTCATGCAAAAGGTCTTAATGAGAGGTATCTCGCTTTTGAGGCTTACACGTGGAAATCATCTCGCTCATCTGGTACTCGACTTCTGCAACATGCCTCCACTTTGAATATCGCCCCAGTGTGGCAAAGTTTTTTCCGCTTCACAATTAGTAAGCTCAATGAATTGTTCTCAAGCTACCGGCGCAGGTTTCTTCAATGCTAAGAACATCGGTTGTCACGCTCCCTCCAGTCATTTGCCTTTTGCAAGCAGGTAGATACAGGTGGCCGTAATTGAAAGTGTAAAAAGGGCTTGACAATGGTCACGCTTCTCAGGCATGCAATGGCTTTACCTCAATGACAATGGCATTCGGATACGTAGTAGTCTGACAATGATTACCCTGCAACATCCACGCTTTCACATGAAGCGGGTGAGGTAGTAATTGGCAGATCAACAAGGAATAAAAGACCCGATCAGATCGAACGTTGTATCCCTGGACGTATTACCTTGCTGGATTACTGTGGAACACACAGTGGTCTCTGAGCAAATTGAAGTACATCTATGAACCCAGAAAGTCGTATTCTATCAAACTTCAAAGGTATCATGAAAAAGTTTTCGGCCTGCACTGTTGAAGGTATGGAAAGTTGCTCCACTGCGCAGACGATGATGTACGGTTCGTATAAGGATTTGAATATAAACTCATTTTCAAGAAAAAAAACGAATTTTAGAACAGTCGGCTCATTCCTCACGCTATCGGCTCTAGAATGAGTAGTTCTCAAAATAAATATTGGGTTGTAACATAAGTTCGTAGAGTTTTGCGTTGGAGTTATTTTGCAACGATTTGTTTTGTTTTTCAGCAAAGTGTATACATTCATTCGAAAGAGCTTTTTCTCCTCTACAAAACTGTTTTATCCGTTTTTTGGGGAGTTTAACTGTTCGTCTTTTTTCTGGCTCAGAAATGGAATATCTAAGAGGAAAAAATCAGCATTTTCGACATCTGCTTTTCTTGCCGAAACAGCTCGGGAGATATGCAGTGTGTACAGGGAAGGTGTCTTACATAGGTGTGTCTACTGCACAAAAATGGTTCGCAAAGCTTGAAATAGGCGACTTTAAACTTGAAGACACGCCTCGAAGCGAACGACCTGNATATTGGGTTGTAACATAAGTTCGTAGAGTTTTGCGTTGGAGTTATTTTGCAACGATTTGTTTTGTTTTTCAGCAAAGTGTATACATTCATTCGAAAGAGCTTTTTCTCCTCTACAAAACTGTGTTATCCGTTTTTTGGGGAGTTTAACTGTTCGTCTTTTTTCTGGCTCAGAAATGGAATATCTAAGAGGAAAAAATCAGCATTTTCGACATCTGCTTTTCTTGCCGAAACAGCTCGGGAGATATGCAGTGTGTACAGGGAAGGTGTCTTACATAGGTGTGTCTACTGCACAAAAATGGTTCGCAAAGCTTGAAATAGGCGACTTTAAACTTGAAGACACGCCTCGAAGCGAACGACCTGCAGAATTCGACCAAGAGCATCTGAAGGCACTATTGAAGGAAGATGGTCGCCAAACAATTCGTGTATTGGCTGACTATTATAATAACTTAATTAATAATTTATTATTGCAATTATTGCTTTTTGTTCAGAGAAATCTTTGTGAAAAACTCTACGAACTTATGTTACAACCTAATATATGAAAGATTAACTACTAATGTAAAGCGTACTCATTTGAAAACTCCTAAAAACGCTAACCATTTTTCCGTTCGGTGCCATTGTGGGTAAAGGAGGTGCAGAACGTCGTCAGTCGAAGGGTGTAAGGGAATGACACTGCAATAGGACGCCGTTGCTATACCGACAGTCATCCACATATCAGTCCGCCCCTATCCATATCAACCACTAACTACCATTGTCGCCAGCTGCTCACCCTTGGTATCTGCTATCTTTAATTAAATGGGAGAGGTCGATTGGTGAATTACTCCTGAGAATGCGTTAGCTCCTCTGTGAATATGAATAACAAGTGAGGGAAGTAGATGAATCGCAATATGTATTCGAGCTCAAACTAAAGCCAGGCAGAAAACGACCTTGTGAAATCATAAGATAATTCTGAATGATTCTTATTAAAACCAGTGCGCAAACGGCTTCGAGAGAAGGAAATTTGCTAAGGCAGGTTCGACTCAAGTCCGTAAAAGAGCCCTGGTCTTGTAAGGTGACCTGCAATACTACAGCTATATCATCCCAATGGAGATCCGTGCGAGGGTTCGTAGCAGCTTTCGAACTTCTCCGAAACCTGGTGCTCGTGTATCAGAGAGCGAACCTAACTTTTGGCAGGTGTACATTGCTACAGTAGTGTGGAACCTCACGCTTGGGAAGTCCTGCATATATAGAAAATAACGGCTCTAAGCTTATTAGACGGAAGGTGTTCAAGCTAAAGCGAAACTATAGAGAGCCCAGTAGCAAGAATGATAGTTCCTTTCCTAAGGTGTAGCTTTCCACATACTTTTTGCCGGAAGGCTTTTAATGAAAGCAAACGTTGATAGCAGAAAAATTTTTGTCTGCTATCAATGAACATACTCCACCTCATTAACTCGAGTAGGTTTTAATCAGCGTAGGATCCGCTTCCTGAATCGCTGGCGAAACTGTCTACTGATTCCTGCATCCAAAACCCTTTCTATACCAACAATACATAGAGTATGACCAGAACTCATAGAGGCTATCGAAGCGTTGTGGCCGTAGGTACAGTCCATTTACACCCCTAGCTGATCTGTGACTGCTTTGCTTAATTAAGTTATTAAATATACCATTCCCTCCTGAACAAACAAAGAAGAACTTAAAGTTCCTGTATAGATCGATAAATGTAACATTATCTTTACTCATTTGTTTACATCATCCAAAAACAACCTGAAGTTGTGTTTTCTTCTGCTGCATGCTTATCGGTCCTACATAAACTCGTATTCTGTGGGTGGTTGTAAGCATAGAAATAACCGTACCGTTGAGTGAGGTCGAGCTTGATGGCACCAGCTAAAGAAGACACATGGGCATTTCAAGTACGTGCTTTGAACATTAGCCTCTGCTGTACTTCTCTGCCAGCGCGAAGTATTCATTATTTCAGCCAATTGGAGCCCCATTTCCTGATCACCCGATTCGTGTACCCGGACAACAAAACATGTACGTGGCTCTTTGGTACAAGTACGGTAAACCGATCCACGGTCGAGCGTGGAATGATAACGGAGGAGTGCAGTGTTCATTCCCGTACAAGAAAGCAGAACTCACCACAAACCGCGAACTTGAGGGACATATACAAATACTCACATACAAAGGCAACTTCCAAACGCTGGGATACTGGTAGGTGAATGAAACAAAAGGTGAAATGTCGTAGGGTAAGGGGCACTGCACTGTGCTTTGCTTCTCTAACACTGAGCGTTAGAGTCGAGAGAAGGGTGTATCGCTGGTTCTGCGGGCCTGTGGTGCTGTCAAGTAACACCTCTTACCAGGGAAGTTGGAGTTCTTGTGCTAAGGCGTATTGGGTGATCAAAGGACCGAAGTGGGTGAGATGCTTACTTCGTGCATAAAATTGGAGGGGAGAGGAATTGATTCGTCACTAATATTACATTAAAAAGTAAGGGACGCGAAAACGCGTGTTGAGCCCGATGCACCCTTCTCCCTTCCCACAACAGCACTTTTACCGGAAATGGTTTTGAGATCTTACAAAAAGTAATTCTTAATGAAAATCTCATTTGTAGGTATGAGTGGTTACCACTGAAATCTCGGTTCGACGACAATAATGATCGCGAACTTGTGAGATGCGGGCAGTCGACGCCAATTCTGATAACATGTACAGACAACGAGAAACGTCTTGGGTACCTTGACCTGAGCACAGAAATTGCAATGGTGGGATACAACAAGAAGGTGGAGCAGATAGCTGGAGGAGCCACGCAAACATGCCTCGGAATATTTCGAAATTACAAACCACCTCCAAACAAAATTGTTGAAGACGATCAGTGGGAAGACACGAAATGGGGAAACGATTTCCCGAAAAACGTTGAACCGGTGAGTGGAGAACAGTTGATAGCGTGAAATGCTTCAAAAGCCACTTGCCCTTTGTCTCTCTCTCTCTTTGTCTCATAACATAGGAACGTTCCGAGCAACAATGACTTCGACTATTTGTGATTAAAACAAGGTTATGAAAGTAACGATTGATAGAAGACGACAGAGAAGGTTTTCTAAAGTCGCACGAAAAACGGCAAAATTGCGTCTTTGCCTGTCAGGGGCTCCATTGTCTGCCGAAACTATGATTTGGGTGCACATATCAGAAGCTCAGCTCATCATGCTCTAAAAGATGTTTAGAAGAAAGCTGGGAAGCTTTAAAAAAGGGAAACGGCCTATTTTTAAGACGTACGGGCGCTGTTCTAGAATTCTGGTGGTAGAAACTCTGGAATACCACGCTCCTTTCAATATCACGTAGCTCCCTGCATTCACACAGATTTCATTGTTCCATAGCTAGAGTGCACAAGGTATCCTGATTCCTAATCCTTTACTCCGTGCTCTGAATGACTTTTATTGACAGTGATGTAGAATGGAAGAAAAATTGCACCAACAGTGTTAGCTCCTCAGCTTTGGAAGGAGCTCGAAAAGGTGGCGTATCATGAAATTCGCTCTCATCTGAATTCTGAAGCACCGCTGCATAGATCGGTGCAGTAGTTTTTCGTACTAATAGCACGGTGCAGGTTCATCGAACCGACACCCCTCCACGTTCCTTCTCCGTTCACGTTAACCACAAGTAGCCTTCAAAGACATGGTACATTGGCTAAGGATGGACCAAATGCTGAAAGGGGAACAAGTTCAAGTGTCATCAAGTGGTGACTTACGGATCACTGAACTGTATTTATCATGAAAAATCGAACCGTGTTCATTATACTGTGTAACCCGAAATGATCAAGAAACGAGTCGCAGTTGACACTACGTTCGTTAAGATGTGTATACAAGATATTAAAATAACAACGATAACCTGACCTGAAGCCATGATAGTCATAAGTCTCTCACGACCAACCACAGCATGATATGTCTACAAGTTGCACTGTTATCATTTTAGGTTTCTGGGTTTACAATCATACGATACTTCCTCCCAAACTTGAAGCAAATAGTGAGGATGAGCCGTTACAGGTCAAAGCCTCCCTTGGTTATCATGTTACCATGTGACCATGTTGTAGAGATCGATTAGCTGAGTTCAGTCGCATACGCATCTTTAAAAATACCTGGTTTTGAATCTACCTGGAGCCTACTTACAACGGGAACAAAGCGAGAACGCCAAGTCGCACTATCCGTGAAATTTTAGCTCTCGCGGTGGATACCGAACAATTGAGGTTGCAGCTCATAGTCATCTTACTTAAATAGAAGCGATTGCGGGAGCATTGGCAAATGAGAAGTTAGTATTTGCTACATCACACTACTACAAATATTCTCTCTGAAGTCAGAGCGGCATCACAGCGAATGGTTTGAAAAAGATGCTCACATGCGAATGGCAAAGTGGATTTGCATATAAAAAGGGCAACACTGTTCAGAGACTCACCCAAAGTGTCTTATCCAAAAACCGTCCAACGCTAGAAATCGACTTCTGCAAGACTATAACCCGGGTTTTTGCCTTCTTTTCAGTTTTTTTTTTATGTTGATACACATATTTTCAGCTAATTGCCTCAACTCTTGAACCTTTACACACATGTATCGTGACATCAGCCTCTGAAGGCCACACCTCTGTTTGAGGAACTGTTGACGTTGAGTTTAAGGCGATGAAGCGTATGTTGAAGACACTACCCAATGTGCCAAAATATCAGTACGTCGCATTATGGTATAAGCATGGTGAGCCTGTGTTCGGTCGTGCATATCCAGGAAAGGATGGAAAAGTTAGTTTCATTCTCCTCATCTGATGAGGTCATGTGAGCCAATGATAACTTTCAGCTCATGGCCAGTTTCGGTGCGAAAAACCAAGAAAACTGTGGGCCAGAAATAGGATCACTGCAAATTTTGACATTACCTGATCCAAGCTGTGTGAGTGCTATGACAGCATATATCAACCTGAAAAATTCGGTTTCCCTCTCTCGTTTGTTATTCCTTATTAATGTATATATGAAGTTTTTCCTTGAGCATGCAGCGTTCGATGCGTTACACGAGCTAGTCTGTTGGGAAAAGCTCAGGCAAATTCAAGATAGAGGGTAAAGGTCAAAGGCGTTTGTCGATCCCATTTTTTAGTGCGCGTCCCGGCATTTGACTTCTATTCGGTATCCTAGCGGCGTTTTAGATGAATATGTGGCCTATGCTACGAATTGCGGTGGCCAGTTGATGTAAAAGTCAATGTTTTTACCCTTCTAGTCAAGTATAGTACCAATCAGAAACTCGGAACGGTAAACAGCTTACTGGTATGGCCGGATGTAGTTTTGGGATTCGAACACTGGACCGTGCATGTGTGATGGTGCGCCGTTTGATAATACATCGAGCGCTCACTCAGCATTTATACAGAGTAGTAGCATCCAGGGCTTGAGTTACCGCTTCTGCCTCGACAATGTCGAAAACTTTTTTCTAATTAGAAGGTGAACGTGCAGCTCCTTGATGAGTGATTTCAGATGGGCCTGGAGTACAAATGGATGACCCTGGCTGATGGAAGAGCTGATGAACAAAAAAAGTGGGAACCGGTACATGTGGGCACCGCTGCACCGGCGGTGTGTGTCGACGAATCTGGCATGGAGATGCTCGGCTGCATTAATCTTTCTAACGAAACAGCTTCAATCGGACTGCAAGGAAAACAAAAGGTTCTACACAATACCTATCTGGGTGACAATGTAGTTGGGGGGGGGGCCACCCATCCGAAGGTCAGTATATCAAGAAATGAACTCAGTCTAGCGTGTTAGTCCTTGCTATATTAGCACTGTATCGGATGCGTAGAGGAGGATTTGAACCGATCACCTTAGCTCTTTCATGCGGTTTCAGCCAGGGAAATTTAGTTTCCCAAATAAGCCGAGGTAGGGTAGGAGGATGATGGCTGGGATGATTACCTCCTGCAAAAAAAAAGAAAGAAAACCTGCTACCGCGGTGCTCCTTCCCTACGAAAGCCCTTATTTAAAAACTGGCATGTCCGTGATATAACACGGCATAACGCGTTTCACTAAGTTCATTTCTTGATATACTAGCCTTTGAATGGGTGGCACCCCCTCCCCCTCCCTCAACTACATTTTCACCCCATCTGAAATCAATATTTTATTTGGGGTAACATGAATGAACGAAAGAACATGATTGTGAACTCCGTTGGAAGGCTGCTTAAAGCTGTCTTCGATTATTTGTTGCTGACACCTTCCGTAGACCTAATCATAATCTGGTAATGTTTACTCACAAAAAAAATGCGAGATTTCCTCATTATACATATTTTCAGATGTTCACTGGTTCAGCGCCATTGAAATTCAACGTGCTTCACCACAGAAAGGTACGTTGAAAGAAGGCCATTACTATTACGATATCTTTCGTAAAACGAAGCACATACTGTCAGCATTTGATAAATCCTTTATGAAAGACCTGTTCAAGTGACTTGTCAAGTTTTCAGATGAAAGTCTAGTATGATAAGTTCTTCCCTAGCTTCAGATGGATTTCAAATGTAGAGCCTTTGCACAAAGTAGTCTACTGAAGCTTATTCTGGTTTTTATCGTTTCCATTTTAATCCATTACTCATGATTCTAGTTCAACCAGAAGTCCATGACGATTGGAGCGATAGTACAGGGCACACTGTCAGGGTTCCCCATGAGCTCACCGTTCTCTACGCGAACTTTAGGAGTGGCATTAAAATACTTTGAATTAATGAGCAAGCGTAACTGTCTCGTATACGCAGGTACATACATATACATATGTCGCAAAGTTCGTATACTTGAAGAAAGCACCTGAAGAGGTGAGGTCAAGTTTCAAATGGGTGGGGTCCAGGGTAACAACCTGGTGACAACCCTATTTCAAAGATTAACACCGCATATATGGGGTCAGAGAAAGCACGCTCATAGGGGGCGGGACATACACCGGAACGGGTGGTGCATTAGAAAAGCTTTATAATTTTGTTACAGAAAAGCCCAGACAACTGGAAAAATATTCAAAGCTTAGAAATGGGTTGACAAAGCTCACGAAGGGGGTCACATGCGCGTTGGGCAGAACGATCCTAGAACGAGCGGCACTTACCAATTTATAAATTAATTGTAACAATTTGTAACAGTAACAGTAAGTAATCACATTTATAACAGTAATCCTCTAGTGTTTTCAATCCACAGCACGCATCAGATTGTACTTATGAACGCTCTTGTTTACTCTCTGTGGGTGATCTTCGATAGAACGGTAGCAAAATTTGCCCTTCATGCAAGAAAGTATGAGATTTTTATTACGAGTAGAACGATGAAGCAAAATGACTTATTCGACCTGTTCTGCAGAAGGGGTACATTGGCGAAGTTGTAAGAATAGATTTTCTCGTCCTTCATGTCTCCACAGCTCCTTTTTTTCATCGCGCGCAAAACAGATTAATCGCTGGCTTCTCTGCTACTGAGCGAACGGTTATCTAGCTATTATCCTGTTGCACGGTAAACCGGCGCACTTTCAGATGTTGATTAAGCCTCCTCGGTAGTATTTGAGAATTTCTTCGTGTAAATTTTAATCATGTGGGAACCCTAAGAGGCACGGCTCACCATAAAAATGATACTGAGTTCTTTCCTCAGGAATACTCTGTGGCCCCATGGGTGGTAAAAGGGTCCCTCTTGCTCCCAAAAGCTGGACGGTCAGGGCATAGTGGAAGCCCAGTTGCTGTCTTGAGTCCCTTTCCCGCCTCTCGATCGATGTCACGTCAGACGAGTGTCGAGGCAATACAGATTGCGAATATTTGTTCTTGGACCCACCACAATCAGCTGATAGCTCTGTTTCCTCTTCTTTTTGCTGCAGCGATTCCTTATTTAATTTCTTACTTCCAGAGGCTGAAAAAGGTGAGGTACTTCTGCTGGGGTTTTTTGTTTACTTATGTGAATTTGAATATAAGTGAATGCATTTTTGTGAAGTGGTCAGATATTTGCACCAGGACCCACACGTGCGCAGTGAGATACATTGTATAGCTCGTCCAAACGTCCCGCTCTTCTTCATTCTTCTGGTCTCATTCTCGTCCTATCCATATCCATATATCTTCGTATATGGATATGGATAGGACGAGAATGACGTATCTTCCATTTTTCGTCATATCTCGACCCAAAATTATCGCGAACTGTGCCTTTAACGAACGATCTTATTCTCAAACATAACTAACTACGATATCAAAAGCAGAACTTATTGTAGTTCATTGTTAAAGAGATTTCCTAGCTTGTTCCAATGTGGAAGAGCAACTTCTCCGTAAATCCTGTTGGTATATCTCCTGTTATCCAGGAAGGACTCCAATATTGATCTGGGCACAGGGTTACGACAGATGGAAACATCCGTATATTGCAGTTCAAAGGAAGTGTACCTCTGCATGCGAAGAACCAGAAACTCGTCAGCAACATGGTCTTCTGTAGAGTTTTTGAAGAAACTATCATGAGAGTTTAACTTGAGCATTCAGAACGCAATAAGATCTTGCCTGACTTTAAACATGTATTGAGTGCGACGTCACTCTACGGTGAGACAAATACTTGAAGCACTATTGAATGGATTGAGGCTTTGGATGCGTGGATGGAAGTGAATGCAATTTACTTTCACATCCCCAGAGCTAGAGCTTCTGGCAAGGTTATCATGCAAAACTCTCAATAAAGATGAAAAGTATTGGTGTACACGAGGCACTGCACAACAGATTGGTCTTCCTTATCCAAAAGATTGGGTTCCAAAAAAAGTAAAGGGACTTTATACTAGTAATGCAGAGTCAAACTTCAATCTTGGCTGTAAAGTTGGATGCCGGTTCTTGATAGATGCGCACGGCCTTTCTGAGTATGGGAAATTCCCAGTTCGCCCAAGTTTTTAGATATTCTCAATAGCAGATGTATTACACTTTTGAAGGGTTAATTACCAAAGTACTGGACTCCACAGATATTTAAGCCCTCCAGCAAAGCTTCTTTACTGTTGATGAACAGCACTTCGAAAGCGTAGATGAGTCACTCTAACACTACCTCCAATGTTTCCGGGAAAATCTGATTGACAACGGAAATGAAACTCATTCGACTGTATGAGCATAAAAAGGTATTGTTTGAAACATGAGTTTTATAATCACTGTATTTGGGAGCACGTGTCACTTTTCAGACCACACCGCTGTAGAGTTTGAGTCACTTACATTTAATTAATAAACAAATACTCACAAATACTTTTTAATTTTTTCTTTTTATTGCAGCTTGTTCCAATTCCTGTGGTGGGTCTCCTAATCCATAGATTGGTCGTAAATTTTGATGTCATCTGCAAATACCTTCGCGGTGACCCCTACATGTGGAGTATATCTGGATGTTCCGCAGTAAAGATCCTCATCCTTACTTTATATGAAGCGCTCGCGTCTGTCTGTCCGTCCGTCCGTCCGTCCGACCGTCCGTCCGTCCGTCTGTCAGTCTGTTTGTCTATTTAAACGGAAATTCATAACGCCTCTTCCTCAGAACCCAGAAATTTCAGATTTGGAAGGAATACCCAAGCAGGATAGGAACACATATAGTGCTTGGCAGGACCGGAATCCGCCCACCGGGAGGCGGGGTTTGTGCGAAATAAATGTCTGAGCGAAAATCCATAACTCCATAGTTGTAAAGCAAAATCAAGGAGTAGAGGGGGCAGGTTGGGAACACTGGCGAGAGAGGAGGCCTTGGAGAACGAGAACCAGTCACCAATTGAATCCTAGCGCCTTTGTTATTTACGATCTAGCTTTGATTCTTCGATATGTTTCCCTCGACAAGAAGTTTAAGTGCACTGATAGGGACTGATTATTAAATTTGGTTCACTCTTGCTTACGACCGCTACCCAGCGAAGTATGCGATTCAATGAAGAATCACGGTTTCTCTCTGCTTCGATATCACTCATAACAGAACTTATCCGACCGCTAACAATCTTGGATTCTCATTTAATGATGCATTCGTGGAGAAGAGGAGCTACATTCGTAAAGACATTTGATAATTAATTGTTGTGACTCAACAACATTTGTGAGTACCATTCAAGGCTTTGAATGCCAACCAGTTAAATCTTCAATGGGTCATTATTTTCAACATCAACAGCCACAGATCAAGACAGACAGATTCTATTTTTGCAGTTGCTTGCCCTATCGGTCCCCTATCGAACTTCGTGTTTCGAAAAGTATCATTCGTTCCAAATAAGGATTGTACTGTTTGCCAAGCGTTAGCCGTACGGCCCGAACAATTATGGAATGGGAACTCAACCAATACTGTTCATATTGGTTCTCTAACAAGTCGTAGGTAAGCGGTAGTGGGCATGTGGTGCACACATTAGCGTGCGTAGCCCAACTGGTGATAAAAAAGAGAGATAGTAGGACATTTCCGGGAACCTCCTTCATAATTCGCCTAACATTTGAAATTTATTATCTCTGAGATAATTTGAAATCCATTTCATGGGTACGGGTTAATCCTGAAAACTTCTAGGTCGTATTTTAGCTTCATAGTTGAGACACAGCCGAAACCCCAGACGAAGTCAGAGGGAATGGTGCCAAAGGAGCACATATTATCCAGAAATTCAGTCCAACCACTGAGGGAATCGGTCTACTTGTTCCAACAAACCGGTCACAATCAAAATCATGCTGATGCTGCTTTCTTTCTTGAATAGCAGCAGTGGTATGGATTCCACTATCAAAATCTTCTGGCTGATGTCCATGCACATCATCGAGTGTCTAATCGGTCGTCGCTCCCAGCAAGTTTATGAGCTTTGCATGATTTGCCACTGTAATAAATCTTTGATACTTAGCCGTGGTGTACGAGCTTGAGGCGGCGTCGGAATATTCGACAGAATAGGATCACGCCGGAACACCATACCGTTTCCCGTGACTAAAGAACCCAAGTGCCCATGCTCATGGTGGGACGGCGCTCTCCCTGAGCAACAGGAACGCCCTATTAAGGCTATCCCGTGGACATGGGACGAAGATTTACTACGACCACTTCTTATCCTCGCCTTAGTCCCCTGCAGGCTGTCCCTGCCCAGTCAGGTAGCGCTGGATCAGCAAACAGCCAAGGCGAAGAAATCTCAGGGCCATAGGTACCAAAGGAGACGGACAAGAGTGAGCCAGCTGATAGCTTCCACCTATAACTGTCGAGGCATCAGCTCGGCCGCTCAGCTTTCGGCACTCATCGATGAAGCTGGACGGATTAAGTACCATGTAATCGGCTTGAGCGAGACGAAGCGGAAGGAACCTCTCTCATGCACCTGGACCGACGGAACTTCAGTGTTCTTAGGAGCTCGAAAAACAAATTCAACGTCAGGAGGCGTTGGTTTCCTTGTGTCTCCGAGCTTCTCCAAGCACGTGAAGAGCGTAAC